GCAAGGTATATGTAGTACCTATTTACTGTTAACGCTCCATTTTGTAGGTATATACAGTGTGTCCGTTCGATAGAAAGAAGGATAACATCAGCAAAGTGTTGTAGAATTCTGAGCTGATTTGAAATCATTTTAAATTTAAGCAATCTCATTTTTTTTGTTTTCAAGATATTTGAAAACAGCAAATTGTCGGTACGACCGAAGCCAGGACGTGCACTGTTGCCAGGATGGTCATCGCGGGGATTGCCCATCGCCGGGGTTGCTCGTCGCCGGGTTTACATCGCCGGGATGGCCGAAGCCGGGAAGTAAATGGTCGCCGGGATGGTCATCGCCGGGATGGGAATAGCCGGGGTAACCGTGGCCGAAGTTCCGCGCACGTACATATAATCGTATCGATGTCTCTCGAGTGTGGTCATATTCAACACCTGTGAACCTATTTTCTAGTGGAAAAAAATTTGCTTTAATACTCTCCATTTTGATAACCCATGGTTCTATTTTGTTTCTTTCATTAAAATTCAGATTTTCAAAGTGGTGATATTCTTTTTGAATCGACCTGTAGGTATATGCATTACATAGTGTATAGGTGTATGGAATGGATGTATAAGTATGTATATAAGTTTATAATTTGTAGTATACGAAATATATACCGGTCATGTAGCATAAATTCTTCGATTTGTGCTTTCAGAATTTTTCGGAAAAAATTGTGATTCGTTTATTTTTAATCATAACTTCTTTATTTTTATGATAAAAAGTGCATTAAAAAACCATTTGTAGGTTTTTACAAGACTATTTACATAAAATGCCTTTAAAACTTTTAGTTTTAAAATGGGGTGAGCTAAGAGATGTAAAACAAAGCAGTGGTCGCATATAAATACACGTTTTAAACGTCTATATCCACTTAATTTTTATCGTACAGAAAATTCCCGGTTAGGAAAACGTTTGGAATTAAAAAAAGCTACCTGTATCATTTTTTTACGTATCTCCAGTTGTTTTGTAGATATTGTGAAGAGAAGAGCGTTATTCACAAAATTGCAAAAATCCGTTTTTCACTTTTAGCTTCAATTATTTCAAAATTAAGTCTTCTAAATTGGTCGCTCTTCTAGAATGTATTCATAATACGTAATTAGAGAAAACTGGAAAGGGGGAGGACTAATTTTAATTAGGGTGGTAATTAGGGGGTTGCTTGCGCTGATGTTTTCGCTGAAAAAAGTACGGATCTATCTTATTTTCATCATGACTCACTTAACTTTTATGCTAATGTTCGTTTTTAAAAAAACGAAGAAATGTTTTTTTTTTAATACTTATAGAATAAGTAGTCTACAACTTTTTATCGAAAAATACATAGTTTTGCCATTATTTGACTATGAAACTCTCTAATTTAGCGTTTGACGAATAAGAGCTAACTTTTAACAAGCCAAAACTCGGTTCGTATTGTTCATACAGAAATTATTTTAAAAAAAAACATTTTCTTTGCTTTTTTAAAACCTACGATTTTGTTCTCCACAGTTTTTTTATAAAATGCACACTTTTCGTGTTTGTCGCGAATAACCAATTAAAAACATTGATCTTTTCTATGAAAAACTCATACTTTCGGTCGCGAATAACTGGAGAAGTATTAACTTTCTATGTATAGATAATGTATAGAACACTTTTTGCTTAGAATTAATACTTCTATCTATTCCTGTATAAAAACTACAATAAAAAATTACCACCCCTGAGGTGGGGTGGCAACCACCCCCAGGGGGAAAGCGCCCATTGCGATGATATAGATTTTGATCCTTAGGCTATTCCCTATACCTACTGTCAAAATTTCAAGATAATCGATTCATTTTGAAAAAATTGCTATGGCAAAACCTTAATTTCCTGGACGAAAAAGGCTTGTGTGTCAAATGATCCCCTTTTGACCAACTTCACATCTGTCTAGAATAAAAATCCAGCACTACGTTCTGATCCCGATGATCTACTCCCGTCACTCCTGATATCCTAACGTATAAGCGCTTACTTACAGGTGAGCCATTTTCGAGGGGGAAAAGCGAGGATTAATATTTAGAAAAACTGTTTTGAAAAATTTCTTACCGAACATCATGGAAATGAAAATAAATTTTAAATATACTCGTATATTTAATGGTTTCAAATACGCAACTTGAGTCGTAAGCGTAACTAGTTCTTAAACAATGTTAGATTATTAACCCATTATTCCATATTTCTATACAATTCCTAGGCAATGCGTATAATCATTGTATTTATACCTTACCAGTATGGCCACGGTATAGCAAAAAGTGCGACGCGTTAATAAAGCTAGATAGATGGCGCTAAAACGCACTGCAAAAATTAATTTAGCGTAAAAGTAAACCATATGCAGTGTCGTATTCCCCCACAGACGTCTCTGAAAGCAGCCTATTTAATCTTTTTCTTTTGCTACGTATGCTGTACGCTTTGTGTAAGTTTTAAAGTTCACCAAACGAATAACGAACAGGATGCCGGTGACGTATGCTACATGAAAGTTGTATTGTAAGCATAAAGACGCTCTTTATCTTTATTATTAGTATTTTATTTCATTGTTACCTATACCTGTAATGTTAGGTTCCAGGTTTTATTGAAAGTTTTTAGCGGCAAGGATTTAATGGATTTAATTGAATGGTCAAAAATAAATTCCTGGGCATTTAAGGGATTAACCCGAAGTATTTGAAGATTTGTTGAACAAAAATAAAAATTAAATTTAACAATTCGTCCCTGAAAAAGATAAAATACTCTAACCAGCGGAACAATTGAAAATTAAAGGTTTCTGTCAGTGTAGGTACGTGCGGGTTCCTCTATAAATAGGATTGAAGTAGGCACCTCTTGTTAGTAAACAAAACAATTTCCTACTTCCTGCTTGTCGGTCTCGGATTTAAAATCGTCACGTAACGTACTGGCGTCTGGCACTTATGACCCGACATAATTAATAATTCTGGAATGCTGGCAACTCAAATACACTTATAATTATTGTTCTTATTAAAAAGTTGTTAAAAAAAGTACATACACAATTGTTTTATTTAAATAAACGACACGACTATTGCACTAGGTGGGAAACGGAACACTAGAAATATTACTTGCAGTTGCACGTTTAGCGCCTGTTCTTTTCAGATGTTCGGTGTTATCATTTTTCAAGAGCTGTAAAGCTTAACAAAAAAATATACAGATAGACCTTAAATTGGCCAGAGGATCAAAGAGTTCAAGCCGTACTGGCATTTTTCGTGTTTATGGTTTTATTGCATGGGAATACAACAGTGTTCTGTTTATCTTAAAATTTCAAACGTAAAGCGACAATGAGCCTATTCTTGCGTAGATCAAGAATTATAAACAATGAATGCTCCTGGTTTTGTTACTGGCATAATTATGGGTGTACTGCACATATTTTATCATGCACGATGTGGTCAAGCAAATTTGATCGTTGTATAATGTATATATAATGGCATTGTTCATAGGATATATTTATATAATCAATGATAATGGTGTAATTCAACATTCAAACTGTCGTTCGAGTGATAAAAAAGACAAATCGGCTATCGCAACAAAGAGCCAACATTTCTCTGTATGCATTTAAATTCTTATTCAGTGTCCGGTGATGTACTTGCAATGCAATGCTTGCATTATCAATCTGTACCTCCTTATAAATATACAAAAACTATTAGCCGACATGGAGCTGACCCGAAAAAGGACACTAACAAAAATTGAAAAAAAATGTTTGTATACCTATGTATTTTTAAAATTCCATCCATTGATTAAATACTTTATAGTTTAGCTTTAGACAATACCCCTTCCCGTAATCATTTTAACATAATTTTAATTTATAATTTACTTCCAGTCTTCCACCGAATAAAATCAGACATTTTATCTTATTAGTCTGGAATGCCACACTAAGGACAGAGTTTCCGCTTCAAGTGAATTATTAATTAAAGGAAGGTGAAGGACGAGTATCAAGTTTCATTTGCTTATTGTCATTCCGTGTCGCCATATCGTATACGAAGTGAGATACAGGTTTCTGTAATTTTACTGTTGTTATTATAGTTACCTAACCGAGTGTTCGCAGCGCTAATTTTGTACTTTTCTGGTAGGCCCCCAGAACTAATCTCCTGGCCCCCAAATAAGCGTCGCATGTTTTTAACATTGCATGGCCGTACTGTAAGGTATAAATACAATGGTATAATTGAGGGAAGGAAAATTTTTTATACAGCCCCCTCCCCATGGCTGAAGTAGTTCCCCTTCCCCTAAGTTTTAAAGGAAAATGCACCCCAAATTTTCAGGTAGTGTTTCATATCCAGTATCCAAAATAAAAGCTTCAGTACGTTACCAATTTATGGAACCAGCTGGAACTTAGTTTGTGGAATGTAGCTACAAGTCGATAGCTCTGAGAAGCATGAAAACTAAAAAGAATTACAATAATAAAAGCGGTAGGTATTTCTTATCTTGCAATGTGATATGATACGCAAGGTCATTATAGGGGTTAATTGTGGTAACGAGAATATCGTATCCTAGTGTCCCTGCCGTAATCTAGAATTCTAGACAGGATGTTATCTAATTAAGACGACCGAGGTCTTTAGAAGCGAAAATAGGGACGCTGTAATATTACAACGGAGCGCCACCTATCATCATTGGGAGATGCTATTATGGAGCAATTCACATATTAAATGGCGGAAAAATTTATTATTTTCATGAAAATTTGCATCATGTCGGAACGGAAGCACCGAGAAACTTCACCTAAGTTTCAAAAGATTCTAAATATGTAGTATTTTAAAATGTGAAAGTGTAGGAGATAACCATTACACAGTTCTATTTTAAGTAATTGTTTTCTAAAAACCAAAAATTATAAAATCCTTATTACTGAAGGTATCGAATTCAAAACTTCCTATTATTAGCCCATATGCATTGTGATCATTTTAAAACAAGATTGGTTAAAATCGGTTCAGAAATAAAGTAGTGATGCAAAAAGAAGTCCGCCCATGTTATAGGTATACGCGCTATTGCCACCTTAAGAATTAATATATTTCTGTAAAATATAAAAACAATAATTAATGATAACAAATACATATATGTATAACTGGCCTTAAAAGTTAAACAATTAACAATGTAACATTTGTCTGAGATGCCACAAAATATTTGCAGCTTAAGATCGTCCTTAAGGCGTTTATGAAAATTGCATCCATTTCGCAGATCAACAAAAATTAAGATGTAGGTAACTAATTAAATTGTCAACCTAAAAAAAAGATAGTTTATACAATAAAATTCCAGATTACCAGCAGTTGTGACTTTTAAGAAAACAAATTACTGATAATACAAATAATAGTTATATTAGAGATCCAACGCTATAGAAGTATGTATTCGTTATTTTGAACATTATGAAACTAACAAGACGTAGTACTGGATAGTACCAACAAAATATAGATTTTGAGGTTACACGTTACCTTCCAAATCAAGTATTTAATCTGCCTTTACAAAGACATTTTTGTTAACAGTTTAAATAGAAGAGAGCATGATAATTAACTTTACAAGTTACCACTAGTATTATAGTTTAGAAAACAAATGTAGCTTGCCAGAACTCAGCACTTGGTTGGTATGGGCTGTCACTAGATTGGCAGAGACAAAAACCCTAGCAGTGAGTATCATAATTTTCAAAAACAAATGAACACATACTTGTATGATGTTGAGTTCTCTAGCACTGATGGTTGTATTAACTACAAAGACGAGGAGATGTTTCACATCTAGTACATACCCAAACAGTACAATTTCAATAATAATTACCTGAGAGAATTACTGCTTTCTAACTCCGCAAATTGACAAAAAAGTTTGTTCACTATATAAGCCCACAACAGGCACTAATAAATAAATTACTGTAATCGATTCTTCAAATTCATTAATACAGTCAATTACATCAGTCAGTGATATGGCCTTCTGAACATTGTAAAATATTTTCAAATTGCATATAGATGTGCTATCGCCCTCGTGACCGAGTTGCAGCTTCTGTATGACATATCTGAATGTTTCCTGGTACACTTCAATCGGAACCGTATCGGTCTCATCTTGCGGACAATCAACGTGACACACAACCGCCGAAATATTATTTTCATAATTCCATCGCCTGTAGATTGAAATTGACCAATCGTTAACGCACTTTCCGGTTTCTTCATCTGTAAGTTTGAATTTTCCCAATCGCTTAACGAGACTATTAAATCAACTTACACTCGAAGCTACTATTGTGCCTATGGACCCACACGTGCCATTCAACCAACGCATTTTTAGGAAGACCTGATACGACTACATAATTTACTATTGCATTGTTCGTTGTAGCTTCCCACAGTTTTCTCACGTTGTTTATTACTTGAATATTGGTGACGTAGCAAACCGCCTGAAAGAAATTCATAAATCACACGTTAATTCAAAATAATATTCACGTTAATTCAAGTTAATTCCCGTAAATTTAAATTAATTTACACTAATTCAAATTAATTCACTTTAGTTCAAATTATTTCACGTTAATTGAAATTAAGTTAATCAAGTTAATTTAAGTTCATTCCCGTAAAATTAAATTAATTCACACTAATTCAAATTAATTCACTTTAATTCAAATTATATCACGTTAATTCAAATTATTCGTTCTCATTAATTCTAATTAATTCATGTTAATTTTAATTAATTCAGTGGAGTGTGCACCAAAAATTCAAAGTTGTTTCCACCTAATATATATATATATACTCTGAATTAGGTTTTCCTGCAGGGCCCATAACAAGAGACAGGGTTGGCAAACACAAATCCAACAAAAACTGGGTGAAAAACATTTAGTAAGTAAAAAAAACCCGGGCTTTATAATGTTTAGATTTTTGCAAATGATCTGTATTTTGATGCTTACAGTAGGCTACGTTAGTTTTTATTTTCATTAACAAGCACCTCATACAAATACCTGTATTTCACATTAATCCATTAATAGACATACATTACATAAATATAACGGAAGGGTTTTCGACTAGAAAAAAAATACTACTTCTATAGCCTTATAATGATAAATTATTAAATGTTGGCTGTCTAACTTTTTATACAGAAGAGGACGCGGACGCGAACGTTTATTTGATTTTTTTGAACCAATATAACCCTAACTTTTACAGTTTAGCTTTGAGGTGTTTGTTCTATCCTGTAACAGATGGCGTCGCAATAATGCGGACGATAATCATACAAAAACCCAATTGCCCAGAAAACCCCACAAAAACCTCAAAAACCCATGGGTTTTTATTCAAAAACCCGGATTTTTGCCAACCCTGAGTCAAGAGATATTAATTCACACTAGTTGAAATTTTTTCTTTTTTTTTCAGGAGGGGAAATGCAATTACACACTGAGTGTGGGGCTTCTCCAGATACCTGGTATACCCACTAAAACCTCTCTTGAGGCATCGACTATGATCAATGAAAGCTCCATAGTATCTTGCCACAAAAGTTACCTCCCCACCTAAGGGGTAAATATCGTCAGTTGCTGGCGATACCTAAGCACCATAAAGAAATCTTCAAAAGATCCATTACCTACAATATGGTAAAGACTGTCAACTTTATTTAAACGGAATCAGGCACACAAAGGTTCTATGGCATCACTGAAAGGAACAATGGAAACGCATATATTGTCTACACGACGACTATGAATCACTGTCAACAGTTTTTTAAGGTCAATGGTGCAATTGAGTAGATAAGCAAGGGCGATTCTGGCTCATTTTGATATTGAGATTTGCGCATGCGCCATGTTCCAGGTTATTCATTTGACCTCTGTGCTCCAAGGGATACTGAAGGTCAAACGGCGGAGATTCAATGTCACTGAAATCAAACTGACTCTTGGCTCACATTGAAATTCCCATATGCACGTTGATGGTCAAGGTCAGAGGGGTGTATTGTCTGCGGGCTGGAAGTGATCTTTTCGTGCTCAGTTGCAATCCTTCAATTCTAATTATAGCCTAATGGCGATAAGTGTTGAGAACAAAGGGTGTACTGTAATCCAGAGTTGGACTGGGTCACTGGGTCAACTGGGTCACCTGGGTCACTAAATTAAACTGGGTCGCTGGGTCACGTCATACTCTTTTCAGTTAGACCCAGTGACCCAACTTGACCCAGCGACGCAATTTCACCCGGGGACCCAATTCGACCCAGTCACCTAGTTTGATTGAATAACGCAGTTAAGTCAGTGCCCTCGGTTCAAGTGTACAGATTATGCAATAAATGAAATGCTGGTTTGTTGAAAATAATACTCGATTGCTTGACAACTGCCATTTCTGTGATGTTTGCTTTAATACTGCCGTAAAAAACTTTCCATGTCCCGAATTGTATTAGAATAATGTTATTTCTTTGCTTCAGGGCTTACCAGTTTGCTTACAGGTGTTCATTCACATTTAATTTTTTTCTACTAGTTAGCTTAATCCAAATAAATCTTTTCTCTAAATACTTTCATTGACTACTTGACTACAAACTATAAACAAATGCATTTGATTTTTTTAGGTATTAGTTCTCTTGAATGAAATTGGGCTACGTGCTTGTTGCCGAATATTATTGAGGAAGTTTTTTTTTAAATTAAAAGTTACTTGAAATTGTTTTGGATGATACCTAACAATAATTTAATTACTGGGCTACAGGGTCAGGACGGGTCACTGAGTAAAGCTGGGTTACTGGGTCAAGCTGGGTCACCGGGTCAAACTGGGTCACCGGGTCAAACTGGGTCACCGGGTCAAGCTGGGTCACCGGGTCAAACTCGGTCACCGGGTCACTAAACTAACTGGGTCACCGGGTCACTATGCTTGACCCAGTCCAACTCTGCTGTAATCATCTAGTATTCTTGTCACTGTCTACTTACAGTTGTTATCCTAGGTAGTTACTTGTGGAAAGTTGGTTCTTTATTTCCACTTATAATAAGGAATGGTCTAAGTTTTTAAAAACTTCCGTGAGTCAACCTCTTCGGGAATGTTAAATTGACTTGGAGCATTTTTTATACAAAATCCCCAAAATCGGCCGACTCCTATTTTTATACAATGCAAAAAATTCAATCAACATACATTTACTGATGAGTTGAAATATTCACCGCAATTCAGAAAACTGGATGGTGGAACGTCTTTTGCAATACAATCTGACCTATTGTCAGATCTGAAAGTAAATTTTGAGACGCTCGATTAGTCAAATCAGGATTCAGCTTTCTCGAAATTTAATAGTTGAGCAATTTAGCAATGTTCCACAGTAGGGAAATGTCAAAATTACCCTTATGGTTTTAACAGCCAGCAAAAGCGCGAATTAATTGTCTTTAAACTTTTTACTGGTATAAACAGTAACAATTGCATTTCGATGTAAAATCAGTGAGGTAATGAAATATGAAAGAGTGTGGGTTATGTGAGGAAAAGTCAAACCAAAACTTATTTTTGGATGAACTAACCTGCACAACATCACGAAGATTCGTGTTTGAGTCGATACCACTGATGATTCGTCCAACATGCCTAATCGCTAACTGGCACTGTGACTTAACACCACCTCTCACTAACTGCATACTTCCTGGAACTAAACCGATCTGTCCTGCAATATATACAAACTCCCCCACTCGAATTGCTTGACTGTATGGACCTATATTTGCGGGTGCCCAATGAGAAATACTTTGAATATGCATTGTATGCCTAAACAAACGTTTTTACATTGTGAAATAAAAGATTCATAAAACAATCACCTTTCGATTGGTGGATCTCTCTCAATTGCATCATCTGGCAGACTCCAAGACACCACTTCCAAAATAACGGGGCAGTTTTTTGGCAAAGGCACTTCAACGCACGCTCTAGTAGGCGGATTCACATGTTTGATGACGTCGACATACAATTTATTCAGTTCAACAAATTTGGACATATCGGAAACGAGCATCGAAACCGATACCACATCTTCCAAAGTGTGACCATAGGTCGACAGGGTAGCTGCAAAGAAAATGATTGTCTGCCCATATTCGTCTTCACACAACCAACAAAGATTCAACGTCAATATAAATACTGCATACCTACACTTTAATTTCTCAAGCGCCATTTTCAATGCTTCCTCACAACTTGCACTGTTACCACATAATCCGCTGATCCACAACCATCCGTCATTGCTTACAGCATTGAGTTCGGGACAGCAACTGACCGTTTTTATGGTTACTGTATGTGCTACGGTCTCGTCAGCAGAGCTAGTGTTGTCATCAACAAATTCGGTCGCTTCCTCGCCGTGATCTGTAATGTATCCGTCGCTGTCCGATAACGGAACATTTTTTAATCTACTATAGAAATTTAATTGAGGTAGTTTCGGTTCGAGCTTTAGTTTGTTTAACTTCAAAAATCCCACAGGCGCAATAGGATTGGCGGAGTGTAAAATGACTTCTGATGCCTCACTGAAATAACAACGGAATGTTAAAATTGAGGACTGTGATTATTTCAATAACTAAAACTTTGAACAAAATTTATTGTGTAAATGCAGACGTTTTATTTGGTTTCCGTATCTGCAGTAAAGTTGGGACACACTGTCTGATGCATATCAATTATTTTTTTAAGCGTAAGTGTGGTTGTTTGTTTGAGATTAATCGCAGATCTGATCATATCATTTGAATTTGAGGTTAATTTAATTTTGTATCGAAATTATTTTGTTAATTTTGTTTAAATAGTCGTCTTGTATTTTACTTTATTTAATTGTAAAGTTACGTGTTAAAAGATTTAAGTTTATCCTTTTATAAACATGTTATCCCCGGTCGTTGCGATAAGAATTTTATCGCTGTAAGATAGCTCGGTGTAGTGACCGTTTGCCATTGCACATAGCATTAAACACTGTAAAACTATTACGAGTGAAAATAGAACTATTAAGGAATTCACTAATATTCAACAAAGATGTGCTTAATGCCACAGACATTATTTGTGGTCACATTTTCAAAAATTATGTATTTAATGTAATTATAACGAGCTTTTTTGCTGCTCATTTCTTCTAGGTATAATTTAATACTTTCCTTACTAGCATTCTGACATCTATTGTATTTTAACTGATATGGAGCAATGGAAGTTTCTTATTGATTCATTTAAATGACCCTCTTAAGTTATACAGCATTCAGTGGGGTTCCGCAAGGATCAAATATTGGACCATTGCTATTCTCAGTTTTTATAAATGATTTGGTGTAAGTATTATTTCCAATAAAAGTGTTTCAAAGAATCAACCACTGTATGTTATTGCAAGAGGATTTCATCAAAATTTAAGAAAGTGCAAAACAATTTCTGAAATATGTGTATTATGAAAGAATGATCACTATCCCGACTACACTGATTAGTGTCATGTAAGCTATACCTTGTACCAGGTGACCCAATAAAGACTGTTTCTCGGCCATACATCGAGAACCGTTCGTCATATGGCTTAGGGGTAAAAAAATTATTGGGTAAATCGGGGATGAAGAATCGCTGGAACATATTTCCAAGTTCTAAAAATGACCAACAGAGTGTGTAACTGCCATCTTAAATTTTAAAATTGCATTTTCTTTAAATTTCGCATAATAAATGTGATTGCAGTTATTACATCTTATTTGCACGATCGTGAATTGACAGTAGTGTACAATGGTTTTGGTTCGCTAAGTTACACAGCAACCAGTGGGGTTCCGCAAGGTTCGAACCTTGGACCACTGCTATTCCTAGTTTTTATCAATGATATTGGTGCGAATATTATCTCAAATGTGCTATTGTATGCTGACGACATGAAAGTGTTTCGAACAATCAACAACATTAATGACTGTAAGTGTCTGCAAGAGGATTTAAAAAACATTGAAGTTTGGTGTGAATTAAATCGTCTCTCTCTCAATATAAATAAATGTTGTGTGGTGAGTTACGGAAGAAAGGAAAATCTCATTACTTTTAGTTATTCTCTTTGTGATACTGGGCTACGGCGTGAAGATGAAGTAAGTGACTTAGGTGTGCTGTTTGACTCAAAACTTAATTTTAATTCACACATTTGTCAACTAACAAACAGTTGTAGTAGATCTCTCGGTTTTGTAATAAGAAATTATAAGTTGTTTACTAATAGGCAAACATTTTTTACTTTGTACCGATGTTACGTTTTGAGCAAAATTAATTACTGTTCGGTGATTTGGAATTCAATGTATGAAAAATAATTGAAAATGTTACAGTTAGTCCAGAAAAGATTTTTGAAATATGTGTATTACCGAAAGAAATGATATTATCCTGATCACGCTGATTACGAATTATTATTATCTAATACTGAATTATTATCACTTAAGCAATACTCTCCACTTAATTCGATGTTATACTTATATAAAATAACTCACCACCTAATTGACGACACTCAAACCCTACATCAATTAAAACTTGTAGTTCCTAGAAAAAACATTAGACAGCAAAGAACTTTTGAAATTGGTATACCTCGAACATCACATTACCAAAATTCGCCGCTGTATCGAATGTGCAATTATTACAATAAACATGGTATTGATATATTTTGCAATAACCTTGCACAAATTAGGGAAAATATAATTGTCTCTATTATGACCAGTGTAGGTAGTAAAAAAAAAACTACTACAAAGTATATTATTTAACCTTGAAAATATATCTTATGTAACATTACTCTGTAATTGGCATTAGCTGTTGGGTAATAAATTATTATTATTATTAATAAACAAAAAAAATTTTTTTCACATTTTTAAAAAGAACCAATTTATTTATCAATTTCGTAAACACAAAAACTCAGTTATTTCAAAAACAAAGATGGTGTGGGGCGTTCAATTGTTTTTGCAATAACCTGCTTTAACGTCTAACTATTTCTCCGATTTTAACAAATTTGGTATCGTTGAAAAGAGCAATGAGAATCAACGAAAATATAGTTAACTTAGTTGAATCTTTCTCCGCCAGAGGGCTAGTTTTGACACTATGACCCAAAATCCCAAAAAAATCAAATGGAATGATATGACTTTTTCTTTATGAAAAAGTAACCAAATAACATCCAAAGAGGCCAGTGAAAACCGTTTTTCATAATCTCGTTCCTCAGCTCAAATATTGGGAAAATGAGATTAAATAATCAATTAATAAAAATGCTTCATTCTTGTTGCCCAAGGAATGCTCTTTTCAACTATACCAAATTTATTACATCTGTCAAACGGTTAAGAAGTTAAAGCAGGTTATTGCAAAAACAATTGAACGCCCCACGCCATCTTTGTTTTTGAAATATCTGAGTTTTTGTTTTTACGAAAATGATAAACTGGTTCTCTTTAAAAATGTGAAAAAAGAATCTTTAGTTTATTACGCGAAATTTAAAGAAAATGCAATTTTAAAATTTAAGATGGCAGTTACGCCCACTGGTGGTCATTGTTAGAATTTGAAAATATTTTCCAGCGATTCTTCATAACCGATTTACCCAATAATTTTTTTTACCCCTAAGTCATACGACAAACAGTTCACGAGATATGGCCTAGGAACACTCTTATTGGGTCACCCGGTACATCACATGATCAAAGTTGACTCATACACTGTGTCCAAGAGAAGGATGTCTATAATAGGGGTCTCAGCAACCATAGATGATACGAAGGTGATCAAATTAGGGAAAAGTTTTTTTTTCTGATGTTATTTGAACTTTTTGTGGTCCGTAATAAAAGTACATACTGTATTGCGTAGCATTTTTTATTACGAATAAAACGACAAAAAACTGTTTGTTTTAACAACATGGTGCACCCGCGCACAAAACCCTAATGATGCGAAATATAACGGTTATATTTACAAGAGTTGAAGATCTCACTTGCATTAAATAAAATTGATATCTCTACGGCACTGGCACAACTGTTACTGTAACGATTATTTTTGAATTTACCCACTGCTTGCTCAGTAATAAACAATATTTTTTAATCCCCTTACTTTGAGGAAGTTTCAAGCTCCACTTAAAATCTGTTTCATGCCACAGATTCTCATAGGTCGGTTCCTTCGGGACTAATAAAATTACTTCAAACAAAATGATTATGCAAATTCCCAAAAATACCCTACTCTATACAAATCAAAAATTCAAAGTTACAGTTATTAATGTGGGCGAGATTCCCTTGACGTTACGATTGCTCATATCTTTTCCTGAAAAATGTAGATTCAACTTAGAAGTATGAAAACAGATCGCTTTGTAAATGGTACAGCTCCATTTTTTGCACCGCCCTGATAAAGTTTCGTATAATTTAATAAAAATGTTGCGTTGATATTTGAAAAAAAAATAATCGATGCCGTTGCGGCACTCCAAAATTTTTTTTTCAAAAATCCGGCGCACTATTTTTCGTTTCCCTATACATATCAGTTTCTAATATACATATTCATCATTGATGGATCACACTGATTTAATTAAATGAGAACTCGAATGAGAATAAACTGCAAATTGTTAGAAAGTGAACACAAAACCTTCCCAGTGTATGGGGAAGGTTTTGTGTTCACTTTCTAATAATTATCATACAACCCCATTTCGAGTTCAACAGAGATTGGACACCAAAATTAATAAACTGCAATATTTAATTATTTGACAGGTGCAGATTTATTCATTTTTTTATTTCACTTCACCACTTTGGACCTATACATTTATACAGTATGTTGTTATTATCAAGATATTATTATTATTAAATTAAAATGAGTGGTTCATGCAGACCAACCAACCTGAAATATCAGGAGGGGACACTTATGAAATAACAACCCTTTTTACGAGAAAGTAAAAGTAAATTTTTGATAACTCCACAAATATCATTTTTTACATAAAAAAATTAATATTCTGAAACGATTAGCATTACAAAAAAAATGATAAGACACTTAAAAAAAGATTTCCATTATTAGGCAAAAATTACAGTAATATATGGGGTTTTTTGTTTGTTTAGATTATAGGACTACTCATGCCAAAAAACTTTTTGTTAATGACATTTTCCTTTAATTTTGACCGGTATGGGCACTGTAGGTCGCCCACAAAAGGTTGACTCACCCTCACCCTCACACTTATTGACGTTGAATGAACTACCAAATCCACTTAGAAAACCTGACCTGATGAAAAACCCGACACAAACCTAGAGACCTTGACTCCTTCAGGTCCGAAACCTGATCGGCCAAACCAGATAATGTGAAAGGAGTCTTAATCAAGTTTTTTTTTTTTTATCAAATTGTTCGTTTGTTTTTTTTTTCAAATACCTACATAACAATTCGACTTCCAAACAGCGGGCAATCCAAAACCAAAGTCTCATACTCTCCTCCCTCACCACACACATTAAGACCATATTTATCGTGCATGGCCATCAAATGAGGTTCTAACAATCTTAGCGATCTCCCCAGATGACGAGACGGTTCCAAACCCAAAGCTGCGACTTTAATAACGATTGCGTCCACTTCGCATTTGATCATTTCGCACAGTAATTCCTGTTGGTTCCTCTGCCACAAATACGCTAAGGGTGTCAACTGCAATCTCGAGCAACTACAAAAATACAAATAATGAAAGAAATATACTGAAATTACGTACACGTTCTCGACACGATTTCTTTGATAATCCGACAAGATGGCACCAACTGAAACACCTTCAATCGGCATATCGTCCTTTACATTCTGAAGAAGTTCAAACAAGTCCTCCACTTCATCATCGCTAGTGTACGAATAGTTTATGCCAACACTTTTGGAGTCACCAGTAATTTCCTTTCGATAGAGAGGCAGTTGCATTGCTTCCGCGATTAGATCAATTGCTTCGTGGCCTACACTTTGATACATGTAGCTATCTATTTCGGTTTTACTTTGTGGCATTAAATTTGCCAAAGCGACGATTTCGTGTCCTGCGGCCACACATTGCATTAAATTATAACAACTGTCTTTGCCACCACTAATTAGACCCACAACCTTCATTGCTTTAACGTAATAACAATACAATAAACAAATACTTAAATTAAAGAAGGTAGATATACCTATGGCTTGGCACGATTCCTATTTGTTATGTAAGAAGATTAGTTTATCAAAACAACAATAGAATTAAAATAAATTATTTAAAAATAAGAAGAGGAGCGATTTTGATAATCGAAGCGTTTCAGATTTGACCGTACCGTAGGTTAAGATAAACAAACTTTTTTCTTTTTTTCCCAGTTCGGCCCGTTCCGACTTGTGCTTCGAAGGAGTCATATTTGTATCTAGCTAATTATGAGTTCTGTTTATATACAGTGTGATTGATATTGATAAAAAATGAGTTGCTGCGTCACCTTTGGAATCTTTGTTTACATGCATGGGAAATCGTACTTAACTTGAACTTACAAAGGCGACTCGACAGCAACTCATTTTTGATCGCCCGTTATTTCTTTTATTATTGGAGACAGGAAAAAAGTGTAAAAAAACAAAAATACTTTCAAATTCTGATAAATTAAAAAAAACAAGTGATATAAAAACAAAAGAGCATCAGCAGCTTGTTGACTGATAGCTTTCAGATCTATCAACAGTTTCAATAGACGCGATCACGTGGTCATGTTTATTTTAACCTAAAAACACACCTCTGATTGATTTTGTTTGCGATTTATTTCATAAGATAGTTTGGACATCATTTACGTCTGTAATTAATATTTCCAACATTCCCATGATTTAGTACTTGACCAGCCAAAATGTACAAAATTTATAGGTTATGTTTAAGCTCCATCCGCTACATACCGTTCGTTTATTGTACAGTTAAATAATTTGCCCCAGTGATCACATGACCTTTTGCACCGTAATCCTATAAAGGTTGATTCTCAATATACATAACGTTTCCATACCATATCCTTTCCATAACCATTCCGTAAATTATTATACCTATGAAATTGACCTTTAAGTGATATGTGTGTAAGACATTCAGCCGCGCGCTATAAATACACATTCTCCTTTCCGTTCACATATGGAAGGCGAATGTGTACTAGCGCGCGACTGAATGTCTTACGCATATATCACTTAAAGATCAATTTCCTAGGTATAATAATGTACGGAATGGTTATGGAAAGGATATGGTATGGAAACGTTATGTATAGTGAGAATCAGCCTTAAAACGGATAATCGAACGCACCTGAGATGGAGTGTTTGGAGTAAAAGCCGCTTTACATTAGGCAATTTTCGTGCATGCAAGAGCAATGCAAGTTAGAGATACGTTACTGCGCATGTTCATACGCAATTCAGGTGCAAGAAAAATAAATAGAGAAAGTTCTATTTCACTTGCAAGTTTGTCGCAAGCTCTAGTAACTTTTCTAGTAATTTTGTCAATACCACAATTTATTTGGTTTCGCGTGTGTTATTTTGTGTGTTTTTTTTAATAGCAAGCGCCACCACATAACAAGCTGTAGCCAGCTTAATTTCCTTTTGTTTGCTCATACCTAATGGTCAATTTTATTAAGTTTCAAGAATAACCTTCTGTGTAAACAAACTGAAAAGTTTCAATTTTTGAAAAATATGTTGTCAGCACTGCAACACTTTTCTGAACTTGCACAAAAGTTGCAACATAATTGCATAAATGTAAAATCGTAATAAGCAATGCAAGGCAATTTTAGATTGCATAGCACAAGCCTTGCATTGCACTAAAATTGCCTAATGTAAAGCGGCTTTGGAGTTAACTCCTAAAAAAACTATACGGAGTTAACACTTTTTCTGGTGCACCAATAAACGAACGCTTGAGAAGTTGTCACGACATTTTTGACAAAATCATGAACACAAAAAACCAAATGAAATCCTTTTTTTTCTACTGAACGAAATGCTTCCTTATAATTAACAATAGTATTACAAAAAAAAACTCAAAACTAAATGTTAGTATTATGTACAAAAATAATTAAAATCAAGGCAGTATGAAAAAGAAATTTTGGAAGCATTCGAGGTAAGTACGTAATGGATTTTCAAAAATTTGATGTGCATAGGTAAAGTTCAACAGATAGCTGGACAGCGCTTGTTTTGTGAAGGTAAGTATGATAATGATTGGACGTATCTCTGACCTTTTGTCTTTACAGCTCCAATCTCTCAACATGTGAAATTCCTCTGGCTATACAGGATGTACATCCGGATTGGAGGGATGCTAATAGATGGCAATAATGTAGGCTCCTGACTGGGAGATAATAGTTCTGACTTCTGACCGTTACTTTCGATATTTTTTTATATCGAAATAAGAAAATCGGGAAATAGCTAAAATAGAACTTTCAATAGAAACTTTATTGCTTACATTTGTTTACTTACGGTTTATGTTCAACCCTATTTCGTCTTGTGGAAAAATTTCCACTAGTGACAATATTTAAATTATAAAAAAACTGGTACGCTTGCTCAGAAGTCAGACTAATACTTAATTAAATGAAACAATTGATCCGTCAATTGACGACAAATAATTTAAATTATATCGCATACGCAATACGACTGCAATCGCTGAATAACGACAAAAATATGTTTTAAATTGTTGTAAATTTCCCAAATAAAATAATGTTTATAACAAATAACAAGAATAAACCTAGTAATGCCATCTATATTGTATGTGTCCATTTTTGTAAGGGAAAACTGTACAGTAATCCGTTACAAAGTTTCACCCTGTATATACAACTTACGGCGATACATACATTTTTTGCCTGGTTGACTTTTGTTTCCGTGTTCTGTGGTGTGAACTGTGAAGTTAGCGACTTAACGGAGAACCTCAGGGTCATTGAATTTTATACAATGCTCTGGTTAAGTACACTACGGTACAAATATTCATGCTACGTATTTACAATTGCTTATGGTAGGTGTAAATGACTTTCACCACCCTAATCTGTGCCCTAAGGCCCTAACTCTTAGACCCCTAACTGATGTTCAACATAAATATAACAAATCGCACAAAAGTGTAGGATGATATATATAACCCCAAAGACGCTGTGTGGGGAAACGTCTTCTGTTGAATAGCAATCTTGAATGTATGCCAGTTACATTTCCAGGCCACCGATCCACGTTGTATGGTATTTTTGGTTACTTCCAGAAGGACCTGTTCATGGTTGTAACCACTTCTTGTGTGATAATGTCGGCAATTGTAAAAGTTGAAATTAAACAAGAAGATGAAATAATTGCATGTGTGGATGACAAAGTTTTACTTGGCAACGATGTGACCATAACAATCAAGCATGAAGTAAATGAAAGTATGATTAATGCGGGATATTCTAATGCTATATGCAATTGGAAAGATGAAAATAAGGTCCCGCAGAAAAATGAATTAGTAGTTGAACATTCTGAAGATGTATCATATGGTGAGCGACCGCAAATTGTTTCAAATTTTAATTGTTCCGAGTGTGATTTTGCAAGTAAGTATAAATCCAGTTTGCGAACACATTTACGAAGACACAAGACTACCAAGGAGTTGAAATGTTCTCATTGTGATTATGTAACCAATATCAAATTCATTTTTAAAAATCATCTGTTAAGACACAAGACTGCCAAGGATTTAAAATGTGCCCAGTGTGATTATGCAACCCATAACAAATTCAGTTTTAAAAATCATCTGTTAAGACACAAGACTGTCATGGATTTCAAATGTGCGCAGTGTGATTATGCAACCAATTACAAATCCCGGTTGCAATTACATCTGTTAAGACACAAAACCGTCAAGGATTTTAAATGTATACAGTGTGATTTTGCAACCAATAACAAATTCCATTTTAAAAGACATCTGCTAACACATAAGACTGTCAAGGATTTGAAATGTTTTCATTGTGATTATGCAACCAATAACAACTGCAATTTTAAAAAGCATCTGTTAAGACACAAAACTGCCAAGGATTTCAAATGCTCTCATTGTGATTATGCAACCAACCTCAAATTCAGTTTAAAAAATCATCTGCTGAGACACACGACTGCCAAGGACATCAAATGTGCACAGTGTGATTATGCGACCCATAACAAATACATTTTAAAAAGGCATCTGTTGAGACATAAGACAGCCACGGATTACAAATGTGCACAATGTGATTATGCAACCAATTTCAAATACCATCTTAAATTGCATCTGTTACGACACAAAACTATCAAGGATTTAAAATGTGCACAGTGTGATTATGCAACCCATAATAAATTCAATTTTAAAAATCATTTGGTAAAACACATGATTGTGAATGATTTAAAATGTGCACAGTGTGATTTTGCAACCAATAACAAATTCAGTTTTAAAAATCATCTGTTATGACACAAACCTGTCATGGATTTTAAGTGTGCACAGTGTGATTATGAAACCAATAACAAATCGAATCTTCAAATACATCTGTTAAGACATAAGACTGCCAAGGATTTAAAATGTACACAGTGTGATTATGCAACCAATAATAAATCACACTTTAAGGGCCATCTTTTAACACACAAAGCTGCCAAGGATATCAAATGTGCACAGTGTGATTATGCTACTCATAACAAATTCTGTTTTAAAAAACATCTGTTACGACACAAGACCAAGGATTTTAAATGTGCACAGTGTGATTATGCAACGCATAACAAATCCCATCTTAAAATACATTTGTTAAAACACAAGACTGTCAAGGATTTTAAATGTGCACAGTGTGATTATGCAACCAATCACAAATACCATTTACAAGTACATCTGTTAACCCACAAGACTGCCAAGGATTTGGAATGTGCATACTGTGATTATGCAACAAATATCAAATCCAATTTTAAGAAACATCTGTTAACACACAAGGTCCCCAAGGATTTTAAATGTCGGCAGCCCAACCAACATTAAAACTCATTTTAGGATATGTGGTGAAGGATAATGTTGTCATTGTGTTTATGTAACCAATAATAAAACATACTGAATGTGTCCAGACACAAGATTTCTAAGGAAATACAAGGATTTCCTTCTCTAAGGGAAATACATCATCTATATTGCATTCTTATTCTAAGCTACACCTTTTCTTGCATTTAGAATCTTGCAGGTTTATTTCCCAATATGTGCAGAATAATTGTAGTAAGCTATTTAGATTATAATACATAGCAATTATGAATAAGGTGGGTATGTTTATTAATTGATACATATATTTTGTATAAAACCATTAATTCAAAAAGTATAGATAATACCTACACGTGTACAGTTTATTATTAAATGCCGTAACTGGTTCCAGACGGATTACTTTTACAACGGCAATAGGTAGTAGTTGATTGCATTAATACTTTGTAGAACAGTAGGAATACCTATATTTCTTTTGATTTAGATACATGACTTTGGTAGTCCTTTTTATATTTACTCCAAGAAAATGCTTTAAATCTCCCATATCTTAGATTTTCTTTTATGACTTCAATTATAACAGCATCATTTCCATTTAAAATTAAATCTATCATTCCAGATTAAAGGTGTTTGTTTAAGACAATAAAATGCCTTATTGGGGTGGTGGCTTGCGTAACGCATCATAGGGATTTCAATGTAAAATTCATAACATGCGATTATTGGCTCTCCAAATTATTTTAGAGCAAAAATGTATAAAGGTTTTTTGTAGAAAAAAATTTTTTACGTCAATCAACCTCGTTACTTTTCAATTTTTTGCATAATAAAGACGAAAAATTGGAAAAATAGAACCCCCATCTTTTTCAATAATCTGCGATGCCATGGAATTTTATAACACCCTGTATAGACATCTTCGATTATGCTAGTTTTACATCCATTTGTTTGAGCTCATAATTCTTGTAATTTGCAACTGCTAATAAAATTATTATTGTGATTGACCTCGCTACACTATGAATATGTTTCTGTGAAATTGTAATGTATAATGGGATAAGCATAAATATAACACCGGGATACGTTAGGTACCTACACCTTTGACTTTCTACCGTTCTTATTACAAGCATTGTGGTGGTAGAGGTAAGACTCGCACTACAAACACTCATAACTTTGTGCGTAAGAAAAGACGAGAACATATAAATAACATATTAGGCACACAACCAGGTTATGTCAGGGAAACCTTCTTCGGGTCAAAAACCCTGACAGAGACCACACAAATAATACACAAGTAAATTAACAAAAAAAGCATTTGTTTTTAAAACAAAAATTAAAGATGCTCCAGTAATAAAACCAGTCATGTTTCGGGCATGTAAAACCACATACCTATCTTAAATAGTTATAAAATGATATACGAGTATTGTTCTATCAATACGAGTGTTACCTGCGTCCCCTTGGGTTTCATTTTTAGTACGCTTTTTGCACTCGTCTTGCCACATTTTCAAATACCCGCGTTTCATCCAAAAAGACACATTGACGTTGACGTCTCAGATTTCATATTTTTTACATACCTAAAAAATTGCCTTTTGGTAGTGCAATATTGGGTAACTCCATTAAACCTTTTTAGGGATTATCTTTTTGAGAGCGAAAACCAATATTCGCAACAACCTTTCTTAAGGAACTTTTGGACCCATTAAATACTTTCAAAATGGATTGAAGCGTAAGATGTTGTTCTAAAATACAAACGTAAATTGCTTATAACAAAGATATCTTTGCTTACCTGCACCTACACAAATATTAATTTAATATAATATAATCTTTACAGAGTTGGCATAAACAACTATCTACATTCAACCATTCAACGTGTGTTTTAACTTACTGTGTTGGATCATGTCGTAGATGGAGGTCCGAATCACTGCTTTTGTGAAACCATCAACATCGCTAACAGGTTTCTTATAATGCATTGTTCTAGACTCTAGAGGTTTGCCCGATTTAGAAATTTGTGAACTAGAAGTAATCACTGTTCGCAGGTTAGGTAACTTTTAATGCCTTCGCAACTCTCTGTGAAATGAAACGTGTTACAATACTAATTTTTATATGATTATAAGGTCACCAGTCACCACTTCAAAGTAACGAATAAAATTAGAAATAAGTTGTTTATTTTTTCTTGGTAAACCCGATGGCATTTTTGGGTTATACAATTTTTGGCGCATACTTTCGCAGCGAGATTTACGGAAGTTATGCTTCTGTGGCGACATGATTTAAATAGCAACCGCTGAGAAGGGACCATGGCAACAGAAAACAGAGAACAGTTTCGAGAGAATAATTTTTGATAGATAAACGCGTTTTCTTGTTATTGTTATCTTGTTCGGTTGATATTTTTAAAACGTATAGGTACCCATATTGGTGACCATGACGTGATCAGCCATTCATTTCAAGTTAATACGCGTCAGTGTCTTCTCGCGTCCGCGAAATTGTTTTAACGAGCGATTTTGAATTTTGAATGTAGGGTGTGAAAACGCGCTTAAAAAATCGCATAATGTAATATCTCGGGTTCAGACTTTTGTGGCAGAGCAGAGCTATTCGAATTACTAAGAAAGTACTTTTGTCTGTTATTATCTCCGGTCAGCAGTTTAAAGTCGTGAACACCGACGAATTAAATATCACGTTACTCAAAGACAAGACTACATCCACCATCATCCGTACCGCATGTTTGAATTTGAACCTAAAAATGTGCGCGAAATCATCGCTGATCTTAAAAATAGTATCATTCGTGAAAGTAATTCTGCATTTGCAAGTCCAGTAATTTAGACTAAGAAAAAAAGTAGTAGCCATCGCCTTTCTCTGTTTTCTCAATAAAATCATTTTTAGAGATCGCTACCCGCTTCCTTGAATAGATGACCAGTTGATTCGATTGGGTAGAAATATCTATTTCACCTCGCTTGATATGGCCTCGGGATTTCACCAAAAACCGACTTGGTAACACCGGATATGGCCACTATGAATACTTGAGAATGCCGTTCGGTTTGATCAACGCCCCCGCTGTCTTCCACAGGGGTATTAATAAAGCCCTAGTAAACTTAAATATGACGTGACTATATCGTCTACAAGTACGATATGGTTATAGCATCTATTCTATGGTATCGTATCGTATGGGTGGGCACTCACCATGTACAGACGTTTTTAGGTATTCCATAACGGTAGCTGAAGGAATGTTTAGATTAAAATTAGTTCTGGATGCGTTGCTTGAAGCAGGCTTTTTTAAATCAAAACTTAGTAAATACCGTTTTCTCGTGAAAAGAATTACTTATCTAGAACGAGTAATCTCAGCTAATGGTTTTCAACCTGATCCTAATAAGACTAAACCAGTTAAATAAAGTACATCGCGATACATGCAGCATGTGTGGCGCAGTTCAGTTGAAGCTGGACTGCGGTACTAAGGGTCCCTGGTTCGAATCCGAGTTCCGGCATAGATATTTGTAAATGTATAGTGAGTTGGGTTGGTAGAGCAGACTTGGCTGTAACCTCGCCCGCTCAAAAATAAAGGCAAAGATAAATAAATAAGTCTAAAACTTTAATTTATATTGATGCAGATTCTAGGTGACAAAGCTATAAGTTACAGAATACCAAAAATCAAGGGCAGGATCAAGAAGTGGATACGTCTTCAAGGCGAGAAATATGGCTGTCCATCGTAGAAGGATACGGATAGGAACTTCCTCTGTAGCCAAATGTGTATAAGCAAACACTACCATTAATCAATGTGTCTGTCTATATAGTGTAGGATCGTATATTTTTAAATACTCGTAATTTAAATATCAGTTGGTAAAATACATAAAAATACCGAATGGTACCTTTTAAATTAAGGGTACCCATACACTTTGTCCTTAAACCATACCTGCTATTGAATGTCCTCTAGCACGCGTAGTCTCAAAAAACATAAAATCGATTAAAAACAAAGCTCCTATCAAAGTGGCTTTAATCCGAACATCGAAATCAATAGGAAAAGTCACTCCGAAGTTATCGGCGTCAGTAAAACCTTCCTTTATAAGCCCCGACCATTGCTTATAAATCTTCCCCACTTTCGTTTGACCATCTGCCGAATACACGTTAAAAACCACGTCTTGACAGCAGCAACTTGCAGTGCAAAACGGCCCATCGATACGCAAAACAACGTCTCCGTTTGCGTTTTTGATCACAAAACTGGGAAATAATATGGACCATTTCTGTTCAACCGTACCAATAATCGTCCCCGGCGGCGAAGATACCTCCATCTCTTGTAAACAGCATGGGAACCAACAAGAAGTACAAGCCAAAGGACGATGGAAATGCATTACTTCGTTTCGGTAAGTATCCAATATATTCATTTCGAACGGTCTAATTGGACCACAGCAATTTCTTGTTAAACAATCGGAATCTTCTAATGCGTAATAGACTTTCTGGCCGAGACTGTTTTTAATGGCGTACTTGTTTTGAGTTTCGAACCCGACGAGAGCTTCAAGTAGTTCGACCTTCTGACTCACAATTAGTTGATCAATCATAGTCAAATATTCCAAACCCGGGGGACAATCGCGTAATGGTACTGAAGACCATTGGGGTCCGACTGCGCTAACTCCTTGAGGTTGATGTATAATTAGTGAGTGCCCAATATTCGATTGGGGTGGTGGATAAAATCCAGCGGGTGCGTTTTGTTGTCCTGCGGTGGATGGCGGTTGCATATATGGGTGGGGCACGTTGTAATTTTGATCATACGTATAAGCAGGGTTGGATGTCGCCATATCTGTAAGAGAATAAACAGTTATTATGAAACAATAGGTAGGTATTTACGCACCTGCTGTACAAATTCAACATTCAACTATGTGGACTTTTCATTGACTACCTATCTGCTGTGAAAATATAATACATAGCTATATCAATTACATTTAGATTAGATATCGGTAATTTTCAGAACAGATAAAATACCTGGATGATTCCTACACGAAATTTGTTACCGCTGCACATACCTCTCATCAACCTTACTAGTTACCATGAAAGATAAATGAGATCTCCTACTCTCATCATAAGCTTACTGCTTACCATGTAAGATCACCGACTAAAGTAATAATAATCGGAGGCTTACTGCCACTTAGGCAACCAACCATACACTATCTAAAATGGTAACGTTGAAGTGTAAG